ACGTGGAGCTTAGTATCTAGAGAAACATGAAATAACCAGAAAATGTATAATATAAATGCTTATTCAACTATCCACAATTTGGTGTATTAATCCTAATACAGAAAAATTCAATATGGTATAGGTATATTACTGTTTTTTCTGTTGCTGAGCTATTTGTCACCGTATTTCACCTTAAGAAGCATTTAAATAATCACTTTGTAATCAATATTTAATCATTAAGTTTACAGTTCACTGTCCATTTCCACAACCTCAAAGTACTGTTTATCCATTTAATCAAAGAAGATTTACTGTAGCACTAACTTTTGTTGTTGCAGTAGTGCCACAGTTAGACAGTACTGCTCAGTATAGGGAGAATAGCAAAGGCTGTTGATGTGCCTGTTTGAAAAGGCAAATTAATCCTTGTTTCCATTTCTCCAGCAGGATATGATGATTCTGATTTAGAAAAGTCACCTGAACTTCAAATAGTTACGTTATTCACCAAACTGCAAAGTTACCAAATATGAAATGCTAATATCTCAGATATTTTTATAACTTCCAGGATTTAAAGGCATAACAGCAAGTTCTTCAAAATTTATGTCCTCTGAGATTTTTGGAAGTGGCATAAAAAAAAAGTATTGTCTAATATGCTGAAAAAGAAAAGAAAAAAATGCTGACTAGTTTTTCTCAAGAACCTGCAGTTGCCGTTGCTGTAAGCAGATACAGAGGTCCACACTCCACAGTCACTTCATTAGTAACAATCTGCAGCAATTCTTTTGAAGTTAGTGTAGTTAACCAGCTGTAAAACCAATGTTACTGAAAGAAAACCCAGACCTACCATAGCCTTACTTTCCACCATGTACCACACTCAATTCTCCTGCTGCTTTCAGATTCTCACTATTGTTAATAGTAAAATAGTAGTATCTCAGGTACTGCAGAGCTCTAACCACTGGTAAATTTACATTCTTTATAGTGGTGACCACTGTGACCGAGGAGTAGCAAATGCAGTCAGCATGCATGACTTGTCTCGCTCAGGGCCAGGCAAGGCAGGAGTATAGCTGGAGACCTTTTGACAGCTAACACAATACTCATTCCTCTAGAGCATATTGCATGCACCCTATACATATTCAGTTCAGTTAGAAAAAATTTTTTTTTTACCAATCAGGGCAGTGTATGAAAATAATTCCATCTCTCCGTGGTGCATGCATCATGATTATGGATGTGTTGAAGCACCAATAATCAATCTCAGTTACTGGCGAATGTGTTGTCACTTGCTGCTCCTAGTCATGCAAAGTGTTGTACAAAGAAGCAGAAGTAATACAGCTTGATTTTCATGGAGGTATTATTGTACATGAAGTACTGAGAGGTTATATTTTATGATAGGAACACAAGCTGCTCAGTGCTGTTCACTTTGCTGTGTTATAAATTATTATGGAAGCAAAATACAAGCTGCGTGGCTACACTGTCAGCTAGAGTACCTTGAGCTTTTCTCCCACTTTCTTCCACACATCCAAGCAACTTGCAGAGGTGCAATCAGTCATTTTCCCCTCCTTCCACTAAACTGTTTTCTTTCTCAAGGATTAGTTTAAAATTGTTGTAAGTGGCAGCTGTCAACAGAACAGTTCAGAGGCGCAGATATTGTCCGTATTAAGCAAAACAACCAAACGTTCATTTGCACCTGACTTACCTTGCAGAAACTTCAGCATGGGTTTAACGTTAAGCACATGCGTAGTGTTTAGCTGAGTTGTAAAACCCTGAAAATGCTGCTCTCTTAGCAGCAAACAGAAGCCTAAAACTCAGTGGGTGCTACTGAGTTGAATTCCAGTGAGTACAAAATAAATTAATTTGAAGGGTGAAGAAAATCTACGTCTGCACCTCATGCTAAAAATTTTGTTACACCCAGAGCTGTAAACCTGAGGAAGAGTAAATTGGCTAATGACAAGACCCAACCTATGCAATTATATAGGATCTTCTCAAAGTCAGATATTTCCTTTTAGAGTCTGTATTTTTTAGGCTACTGGCTGAAATGAAGCACGCTATTAAACTGCCACTTCTGGGTATTAGGTTGTTCATGGCTTCTCCCTATTTTTGTTACCCAAGGTTGCAAAGATTTTCTCAGGGATTTCTGTTGTTATTGCCATACTAGCCCATAGTATAGCTAGGTCACAGCATCATTTTGAATGATCGTGAGTTCCGCTTGAGATTGGCAGTAAGAACAAATTAGATCATAGCCCTTCTTATAACCCCATACGCAGAAAAGGAAAATATAATTGCATTTTTGTTTCATCTTTCATGTTTACAGCCCTGGTGTCATTAATCCGTCCATACCCTGAGAACATACAGGTTTATTTGCAATGTCTTGTAACAATAATGAATGAATGAATGAAGAAGAATGTTATTCAAAAAAATCCTCTTATTACTGGTTTGTTTAAAATGCCTAAATAGAAAGTATGCAAAATTTAAATTTGAGCAACTAGATTTCTGTTTCCATGGGCTCGGTAACAGCGATCATGAACCTTGCCATTACTCCTTGTAAAGTACTTGTCATAGCATGCTGGAATTTCCTTTACTTTGCTTCATCATTAGCTCCTCAGATCAGTGTCTCTTGCTTGTTTCCCGAAGACAAGTACAGATAGCCAAGGCCTGTGTCTTGCAAATGGCCTGCCCTGTAAAGCTCATACACTTCTGTATTTCTGCTA